AATCAAACCGGACTAGACCAGTTTGACAGGGCGCCCAGCAGTCTTAAGCCTTATAACTCCCTTCCATCCCCTCCAACAAAAAGGCGTGGTGTGAAGACAAAAACTGTATACGATATGGGAATCTTGAACTGCTTTGATTCGGTGGGAGAAGGGGATCAGACTGTCCTTATCGACCTACTGGAAGGCCATCTGTTGAGTAATACTTGATCCGTTACGAATGCCCAGGCGACCGATTCCCATGGGACCACAGAAGAGTGCCGCCAATTTCCTAATCCCTGACTGATGGGACTTGACTGACTAGTCCTTGATTCGATCCGTAGACAATGAAAGCGACAATGGCGCCTCTCGTATTAGGCGCCTCCATTCGGTAGGAAAGCTTGATGAAAGTGATAAGTGTGGAAGGTCCCCAAGTATAGTTTCGACGACTTGGGAGCCGGACCAGAGGAAAAAACCTACACTCTTACGGGCCTAGGCGCTTCTTGGAAGTGACGAATACCTCTCTTGAGCGGTACTTTCGACATGTACCAGAAACTACCCCCTCATCATGGGCCCAAACCCAAGCCCGCTGCCAAACTGTCTCTTTACACCCATCCGGTGTAGAATCTCGCCGTCTGATTACCAGTTCGACTCTATCGTTTGGTAAATGTTTACTTATTAAAACATTACAACACACCATACGGCTTCCGGATTCTCCGTATTTCCTACTTTTTGACTTTGCCGTTTTCGGTGAGATTAGAGGCGCTCGAGTTCTGATGTAAACGGTCGCACACCATAATCAAAGGAAGACTTGCTGTAAAGAATAGAAGAAGCAGTTTACGCGCAGTTACACGCGCAGCAAGCAAGAAGTTGGAAGAAGGCGAAGTATACGGCGATTAGGAACAGGTAGGCCGATTGGAATTCCTTACACAAGGGCTTACGACGAGGTTATGAAACCAAGGGCCACAGCAGGCAAATTCTTAAAAACTGGTTCTGTTGGAAGGAAATTCGCTGTTTACAAGGTTTATTCACCCGAAAAAACTCCTCCTGGAAAAAATCGCCATTGAAAAACTCCATAAAGCCTATTCTTCCCACAGGGACAGGCCCAAAGTGAAAAAACTGTCTAACCAGAAATTTCATCAGACTCAGGCTCATTACAGAAATCAGCTTTTGAAATTTAGAGCAACCAACATTTCAAGTTTCGGAGACGAGTTCCAAGAGATTGTTTAGGGGTGGAGCTGACAATAGAAGTTAATGTCATAGGGAAATATCATAGGAAAAGAAGCAATGGTCTGTCGTTAAGGAGTAAGGGCCGGTTGAGTGGGATTGTTACCAAATGCAATTTTTTAAATCTTATAAACTATTTAAAGAGATGCCTAGAAACTTAATTTGGTAGAGGCAAGTGCTGTATGGTAAATTCCTGAAATCCCCAAACAAGCAACAAGAAACATGGGTTCATGTGGGAAGACTGGAGAACACTTCGAGGGTAAAACTTCCCAAAGCCTCGAATGAATGAAATGGAGAAAAGAAATGGAGAAAAAGGGAAGAATAGCATGGAGGAGTCCAAGCTCTGATGGACTGCGAGACTGAATGTCGACGTACGCGAATGACACCTTCCGGTCATCTAAGCGTCTCCGAAATCAAGGAAACATCGATTATTCCGGCTCAGGTTGGCAAACATGTCACGCTTGCCCGGGTAAACATCACCAACCTTTCGAGAATAGCCCACACGCACGATCACTCACACACATACACTGGGAGACGACGCTGGCGACGACGGAAATGAACAAACCGCTTTGCTAAACGATGATTGACGATGCACGCCGGTAGTGACACCGTTCACCGGGACTTCACCACGTTCAGTGTCATTTCTGATTGCGCAAATAGAAAGTTGAAAGAAACCTGTTTCCGCTCACGCTGTTAAGATGCCGACTTTTTTTTCCTAAATCTTAAAACTAAACAGCTAATTCAGAAATCTTGCTGACTATAAAACCCGATCCCACCAAAAAACAGAAGTTCGGCAAAGATTTAATACTACCTGCAACCCTCCTTTTATCTTCTGCCCGAACAACGAATAGAAAAGGTGTGGTGTAGGAGAACGGAAGGAACGCTGGCCTCGTGTTCCTCGAGCAAAATGATCCATTGAACCACTTCGACTCACGAGGGGGACGAATGGAGGCGTCACTGGCACTCGCTCGAGGGAGCGTCTGATCAACGGGACGATAGGTGAGACAAGTGATAGCACAAAACAAAATGTCAACTTTCAGTTAAGCAGGGTGTTGTGGTGTAGTGGCTAATGGCGCACTATCACGCACGCATGGGCCTGGAAATGAATCTCAAATCGATACTCGCCCAGGCGAAACAGGTCGCTCTCATCCTGAGGTCGATTAATTGGTACCAAACCCGTCTAAGAGGACGAAAGCGCTGAATTGGGTTATGACTGGCCACCGCAGGTCTTGAACAGGTCACATGCGCACTCAATATGCCACTACTATTCTAGAAGTCGGGGCAGAAGGAAGGGCCAAGACGACCTATTCTGTATACCTGCACATACCCATTCTTTTAGAATTTCACTCTTGACCTACAATTTCCTTAGCCGCTTCTCATTGTCCCTTGACGTTTTAATAGAAAACTTTCCCGTTTCAGATCCGTCATTTTATCTTTCGTTTTTGCTGCTTATATTTCAGCGCAAAACTTCCTTTGAGGACCTAAACGGCTCTACTCTATCCTTCCCGCTCATCACTTCCTCAAAGAATCGGAAAAGGCTCCAGAAATTTTCTCTCTACCCAGTTACTCCACTTTGCCCAAAAGGTCTGCGAAGTTGGATTCACTGAAGGAAAACGGCAAACAGGACGTTAAGGGCGCTAAAAGGAAAACTAAGAGAAAGGTATACCTGAGAAAGGTACGCGCGAAAGGTATGAGGAATCGAGGCGTAAATCAAGGGAGTACTGGCCATCAAAGGAAATCACGTCAAAAGAAAAAGGCTGAAAAAAATAGGAAATATTCATCAATAGAATTAAGGAAATCAAAAGCGAGAACGCCGGTTCAATAGAAAATGACGAGTGTAGACTAGGTCATTAGAATAGATGGGAGATTGTATCTCAAAATTACATACAACGCAATCCTCTACCATGACGACAGCTCCCACACCTCCCCCTCTCTCCTCTTCACTGGCTCATTTTATGAAAGTTTTTCGAGGGGAAATCCAAATAACTAATAGAAGAAAGTAAAGGTGTTGGTTCCAGTCACTAGGCAGTTCTCCTAATAAGAGCCATCACGGCGCACCCTTTCCTCCTTGTCTTGTTTCATCCCATCACCCCTCTCTTCCCCTTCTTATCTGTTCCATTGGCTCATTCAGCGGAACGTTTCGCCCTTTATTGAGCGCCAAAAAGTATAGCTAATTGTATGGAATAAAAGAGTTAATTTTCGGTGATACGCAGTTCTCTTTATATGGACCAAAGATTCGTTCAGAGAATCGTAGATGCCCTATAATGCGCATGGACAAGTGAAAAGGCTTGCGAGACCACCAGAGATTTGGTTGAAAGGCAAGGAGGCCAACGGTGCGTCACATTGGGCAATCCCCCCATAAACCACTGGCTGTAGAGAAAGGACCACAAATGGCCTTTGCAAAGCTTTCTTCGCAAAGAACTCAACTTATTCCTGGCAGGTTCATAGAGCGATCTAACATTAACTTCAGTTTTCCTTCACTCACAGTACTTGGAGAATTCGATCTTGAGCATTGACCGCGAAGGGTATCCCTGTTCACCCAGGCACTGCTAGCACCGGTTTAACCGAAAGTATGCATCCTTTACTATGACAGTTTCACAATCAACGCTTAAATTTATGAAATTGTGGACCTAAATTTATAAAAAATGCAACACTTCAAATTCGTCAGACAGTACGAATTCAGTGTGTTGGAATTAGGGGAGATGTCCATGGAAAACAGTAACAAAACTGTAATTCTGTTGAAAACCATAAGATCACGCAAATCAGAGATAAATCGATGGAATTACCAGGTGAAATCGCATCGACTCGTCCTAATGACAAAATGAAACCTGTACATTTCTCAAAACTTTCTATGAGAGAATGGAAATCTATACTAACAAAAAGGGTTCAGAGATTTTTCGAGGGACTTTCTCTGAAAAAAAAAATCGCGAATATGTAGAAGGTACATTCTGAAGTTTTAAAAAGGCAATAAACGCAGAAAAAAAGATACAAAAATAGATTTTGGGAAAATCGGAGTATCCCGTCAATATCATATTAAAATTGTTCCCCCAATAAAATTATAGAAAGTTTTTCAGAATTGGAATGTAAACGCTCAAAACATTATAGAAAATTGCAAAATTCGAGTTTCGCCGAAATATACGTATTATTTCACAAATATAATCTGAATTAAGGAAGGCTTGCAAAGTTTCGAGCAGGAATTCCATTGGAATTCTTCAAAACAGAGCATTTTTTGAGTGTTTACGTGAAATGGCAAGGATCGACTCCAAAAATCTCAGGTTTCAAGCTATGTTGCGCCCGATCAAAGCACATCGAAACTATAAACCGTCCCTGCCGTCGAAAAATCAGCGATAATAAAGGCATAATTAGAACTGCTGAATTCCTGTAAGCTACCATTTTCGAATCTTGCTCAGATTGACCACATTATCAAACTTGTTAAGTGAACAATATGCTTATAGAGATTTCTCAGTTATCGAAGCAATTTCGATCATTCGTTTGCAAGTATAAATTAACTAAAGATCATAAAAATGTATGATGGCGAACTTGGCAGACTTTGGCGAACTCCTCTACGGAAAATGCACAGAATTAAAGGATCAATTCTGCTCAGGAAACCTGACAAAAAAATGGAAGAAAGAAAAGTAAAAAAAAGGACAAAAAGTGGCCTCAATATTCGAGGTTATTACTAAAGCAGCGAAGAATATTTGAGAAAACGATTACACCCTTTGACTCTACGGAAACCCTCTCAGAAGGGAACTGATTCCATGAGTAAGCCTTTCCAAGAAACTATCTGTCAATTCAAATTACATTAAAAGTAGATTTTTACAAATCTTTTCAGTACCACACAATAATGCCAACCAACCAACACTCTTGGTTATTAAACAGCCTTCAAAAAGAAAAAGAAGACATAAAAAACAAGAATGAGTCAAAAGCCTGATTCGTACCTTCCCTGTGGCCTTCTTATACCTGACGATAGCTGCTTCAGCCAATTCAGCAACGGTTGTATTTTCGTTCTGACATGGCACTACCACACGTACATCTCCGAAATGCACCGTTACACGGCGTTTCATTGGAGCTGAAAAACAAAACAAGATAGGTAAACAATAGAAAAATGGTAAAGATAATGGAGAATTAGCGAAATAGAATCGAGGGATGAGAATCAACTCCGGATAGACAGACACAAGTATGTTCTAGCGTCAAAAATTTAAATTTGCCCCTACTTTTCTTAACAATCGACTTTTCAAGAAGTTTGTTAAACTGACAGCCGAGAAACAAATTACGCTCTGAACGTTAATGAAAAAGCTCACAGAGAAGAATTGAAAATTCTTAACGGTTCACTAAACGCACGGCAACAAATGAGCAGCTCACACTTTTCAGTCTGAGTTAGCTGAATTCTAGCTATAAACGACCATGAACGCCACAGAAATAAATGGATACAAAATAAAAATTATCACTGCGAGGTTCACCCTCTTAAACCAACTTCCAGGTCACAGCTCGTTCAGATCACCCCCTAGTTTGTTTCCAACTGAAAGCTAAGGTTCTTATTCTTTAGTATATTTCTTATCTGATCTTTGAACGGAGAGGTGTGGTGGCAGAACGTGCTCTCACACACCCATGGTCAAGGGATCGAATCCCGATCGACATTCGTCTGAGCCAACGAGCGTTCTATCTCGTCGGGATCGATTATTTGATAGTAGGCTTGTCTAAAAGAATAAAAGCACTGACTTCTACATGGGCTAGCCACCGCATATCATTGCAAAGCCCAAATACGCATTCAACGTCATACAACGATTTTAAATGGAAGTCAAATCAGGGGCGCATTTCGGTCCTCTACGTAGTCCTATGACGTGACGCACTACTTTCGAGCACCTTTCTTTCTGACAGCTTCTCCGTATTACTACTACTGCCAGTAGGATAGTGTTCTCTCAGTCGGTTGGCTAATCGCCTTGTTCAGTTCGTTACGGGACAGATTTACTTTTTGAAAGCTACCACATTGCATACACATAACTATTGAAGGCGTTCCTCTGCCACCCGACTTATCCACCTTGCTTTACAAATCTTCTGTAACTGTCCAAAGAGCACAATGAACATGCAGATCTTCACGCGAGTTAAAAGCAAATGGCCACAAAAGGCAAGAAATTTTGAAAAAACTTTTGTAGGTGAGTTTAATAAGCAGTGCATAAAGAAAGACGACCAAATTCAGCCGAATTTAAACCATGCATTAAAAATCCGGATTGAAAAGACCGATATACTAAAATTAGCGTACTTAATGTTACACCAAGGTCATGAGCGAAGAAAGGAACCAGTTTCAAAGAAAAGGCTCTGTGACGTCGGTAGGATGAACTCAACGACGAACAACTGTGTGCATAACATTGTTCTACGCCCAACGCATTACATTCATTCCATTGACTTTCTTTTGATGAAAAAGTAGATCTTCGCAAGCAGGAATATATGTCACGCCAGTTGCCATCACATNAAAAAAAAAAAAAACAAGAAAGTAAAAACAAAAAAAAAGAAGGAAAAAGAAAAGTATGGGATCAATGAAATCATCAGTAAAGCTATTCAACTCCTAGGAGTTCAGTTGATAGCACTGGAATTGGTAAAACAAAATGTTCATGAAGTGGCACTGACCGATGAGGCTCAACTCGTACTTATCTTTACCATGGGATATACTTACATTACCCCTACTCTGCAGATTGATGTATTAGGGTTAGCTTTTCGTCATTTTAGCATTTACATACGTTCACTGGACCAAGTGGCACCAGCCCTGGTCCATATGAGTGGTGCTCTGAGGAGGTTGATATGGCGGAAATGGTAGAATCATCCGAAATGTTGGCCATATATTTGGACCAGAAAAGACGGTCTGAGACTATCGAAACATCATCCCCATGCACATTCAAGAACATGCCAATAACTCGAATTTCTGATATCCCATGAAAAATGAACTTCGACTGTCATAACGGAATCCACAGGCTGCAATTTGGGGAAATTCCAGTAGATCTTTGGCCACGAAAATAAGAAAAAAAGTTTGAAAAATCCATTCGTAATCAGTCTCTAGCGTAATATACTGATCTGAGCTGCGTGAAGAAGCAGAAATGCAGGGACATGATAAAGAGCCTGAAGGCAACTAGGGCAGCGAAAAAAGAAAATGGGGATAGAGAAGAATAGCAAGAATGAGGAGGTTGGATGAGATTAGAACTAGGCCAATAGAGATTGTAAAACAACAGCATGCACAGAAGACCTGATACGAGCTTGATAAGAACAAAGACATCCGTCCCACAGAATTCTCATTAAATTGCCCGTGGGTTGTCAAGTTGTTAGTCAAGAATTTAGGGTAAGTTTCAACGCAAAACATGCAAGATGTAGAAAAGTAAATGTTCTGAGTAAGACAAGGAAAACAACTGAAACAAAGAGGAATGGTAGAAAACAAATGTAGTTATAGAAACTACCTAGACCGTAGAGAAGACCGCAAAAGAGGAACAAAGAGGTGAAGAGGAAAAAATGGTTGGATCTACTGAGTGATTGGCAAAGCAACTCATCTATTTCCTACCAGCAGCTCGCCCACTGCACCCATGTATTGGAATCCCGAAGGTGCGTATGCCCATGTGATCAATCCCGAAATTACCAGATGGGACAATTTTATAGTTTAGAAAATTCAGTCATTGCTTACCCATCCAAGAGGAATATCATTTACTTTTTGAAAACTATTCGAAGCAAATTACGTTAGTCCATGTGGAATACAGAAAAGTTTATGTATCTTGCAAAATTAAGCGCAAGCAAATAGATATGTAGTAGTGAGAAAGGTAGGAAGCGTTAAAGAAAGAGAGGGCTTCAGGAAAAGGAAAGAGAAAGGGAAAAAAGAGAAAATAAAATTCTGAAATAATTGGAAAAGGGGGTACAATGGGGAACAAAAAGGTAGAATGGCTGAAGAGTTGTACTTCTGAGTGATCAGCAAAGCCATATGCCCCATTTCACCAACAACTCGTTCGTGCGTCCAAGTATTCCAATTTTGAAGATCTGTTGCCTGGGTGATCAGCCCGCATATTATCAGCTGGGTCAACTCATTAGGTCAGAAAGATCCAGTATTACGCTGGTCTATTAAGAAGACAAAAAAAATTGATGCAAATTGCAAAACCGAGCAGGGTCAAAGTGCGAAGGGCTAAACGAAACCTGAAAAAAATTAAGAATAGCCCCAAGAAAGGAAAAAAAGGAGAGTGAAATAGAGGAAACATAAGACAAGTGAAGAGAAGGGTGCAGCGCGGAGCAAAAAGTTAAGATGGTTGTGGGAAGAGGTTGAGCTCTACCACTTCTTGCCAGCAACTCGTGAAGGGCACGCAGATGCTCAAGTTTCGAGGTTCGTTGACCCGAAACTGGCAGACGGCGAAAAATGCTTGACGTTAGCAACAAGGAATACCATTCTTCACTTAAGGGAGCTTTACCGTCTCTTCAAGAGGCTTTTTTCTTTCAATTATATAAATATCATTTAATATACGAATACCAAGAAACTCAAAAATTCGGAAAATTGCAAAGACTGCGACACAATAAATCACATGTTAGTAGCACCCGCTAAACGTTGGCGTTGACATTGCCAGCAGAAACCGTACTTTCGTATGCATTCAAGGGTATAACCTCGGAAAATAATTGAAGAAACAGCTACGTCAAGGCCATCACACCGCCTATGTGATGTTGACGCGGGCCCACAACCATACGCAACCATACTAAAACCTTAGACATCACTGCTCCAAACTTAGAAACCAAAGAGAAAGTTCTTAAAACTGTCAGGTTGTGGGCTCGGTCTCAGAATAGTTCCTCTTTTTGGAAGAAAAAGGGTCTTGCTAGCTGATCATGTAAAAATTTGCGCTATCTCGAATATGTACATATATGTATGAGAACAATACAACGTATTTGAAGAAGTATTCGGGCGAATAAGCATGGCGCAGCTTTTCGGAAACGCTACGCATCCCTCTTCTATTCAGAACCAAGAGAGAATTCAAAGTGGAGAGACACGAGACTAAAACCCTTTTGGACAAGGCGTGTTCGAACATACATGCAATGCGACAACGTCTGACAAGGAAAACATTTACTCTGACGACCCGTCCGATCGAAACATAAAGGGTCTGCTGCATCAATGAACATCAACAAATGCCCAACTCTATCCATAGTTTCTTTGGACAATTTCTTAAAACGATAGATGTTCTACATTGCTTCTTCACTACAATGCGCAAGTGAAAGTGAATGGCACCCAGTAAAATCTAATAATTTTTGTTTCCTGCCAACTCTGCTTCTGCCAATCTTGTGGGTTATCCGTCTAGGCTGTGAAGCACTTCCATGACCTATGACTCACTTCTTTCGTTGCGAAAAAGACATCAGAAGCAGAGCTGACACAATCGGCAAGGGGGAGGGACGTTGGTTGAGTACGATTATACACGCAACTTTGTGAAGATCAAGACAACCATCAAGTTGTTAAATGCTTTCAGAAGTCCCATAAATCTATTCTTGTCCATGAGAGGCTGTGGTAGCAGAAGATTTGCTTAAGCGCGTTCGTCAGGAAACCCAATCCCTGAACCAAAAGTACCTCTCCCGAGCAACCATTCATCTCTCCCTCTAGCTCCCTTAATATAGTACGAGATGCAGCGAAGTCATTTCATCAATAATTTGACATGAAATTTATTTTGTAATTCAAAGTTAGCAATGGTGTCACTGAAAAGTTCAGATAGAATTGTCTGAAAAGGTTGCCGCCCTGTGTATTCACACAGTGCATGGGAATGAATCGTTTGCTATTCCGCCAATTCTTTCACTCCACTGCTCCAGTGGAATCGGCCTTTTCTTGTGGAGGAACGTGTCTGGGGAACCAAAACGGCATCTCGTTACTAAAACTCATTCATCTGTCTAATTTTCACAGACAATCATGAAAGTAATCGGGAAATCAAGTCGGAAGCAGGGCGTATTCCAACTGAAACGATAACTCCTAAACAATTTCTCGGCTTTCGTCGTAAAACAGTTACATAAGGGAACACAATATCATTAAAAACTTGGCTAACAACAGTTTTGCGTCCCTCCCACCATACCA